TACAATCCTGGCCACTGAAACCTCCTTTGCTGCCAACACAGTCACAGTACTCACACAATTAATCCTCTTGACAACATAGTGAGGCCAGGACTATTCTCATTCCCACTTTCTAGGAGCAGTGGGAAGTTCATCACTCAAGATCTACCATAGCCAGGATGCAAAAAAAAAAGTAGCCTGAGCCCTCAGGATGCTGCTTCAAGGGGGCAATTGCCATTCCCACTTTATACAGGGGGGAAACTAGGGCTCAGAGACGTTAAGCTACTTGTCTGAGGTCACACAGAGAACAAGGGTGATATTGGAATTTGTCTGTCTTTGGGGCCAACCAGCTACTGCCACCCCTTCTATAGTATAGGTACTCCCCTCTGCACACTGGGTGAGGAGCTGAAAGGTTCCTAGGAGTTAGGAGCCAGGAAGCCATGGCTCTCAAGCCACTTTCTGAGCTATTACCATCTCTGGAAGGGCCAAGAGGTCAAAGGCACACATACACACAAATCAACAGACAAGAGTCCCCTCTGAGGCTTGCTATCTCCCAAGTCACAGGGTGAAAGATGCCTTTACAGTCAGGGTGAAATTTTTACCTGGTGGTTTCACTTTAAATTCTTTATGATTACAAAGCAGCAGGGGCTGCCAAGGAACATGATTTACTCCTTGAGCATGCACCAGCTCCTTGCTCAGTGCCAAGGGAAGCTGGAGCCAGGCAGGGAGGGGCAGGCGGCATGCCAGGGATCAGAGACAAGGCCTGTGCTGCAGAGGCCCAGTCAGTGGTGGTCCCATCCAAAGTCTGGTTGCATCTAGAAGTTGCCAAAGGCCCAAACTCCTGGCCTAGGTTCTCAGGTTGGGCCCCAGGCAAGTTCTTATACAATTTCTCTTTCTCCAGGGACCATTTCTCATCTTGGTTCCTCTGGAAAACCTACCCCTCTCTGGCTTGTTAGCTCCAAAGCCCACTGCAACTGTCAAAGCCACCAGACCCCTGCCCAGCTCCCTGGTGCTACCCTGGCCTCAAAGCTGCCAGGCCTCCTCCTGGTCTTCTACAACTGAAAGCTCTGTATGGAGCTTCTGGCTTTGGCTGGCCAGGGAGCCCATGGGGGATAAGAGTAGGTCCTCTACTTCCTCCTAACCCCCACCACCACACATGCAGCTAAGCCTGGACAAAGTCCATCAAGGTTTCTAACAAGATCCTGCACCCACACCACTGTGGGGAAGGAAATGAGCTGTAACCCCTCCCAACTCCTAACTAAGTTTCTAACAGGACCTGGCAACTGTGGGATGCTGATGCCACATGCAAATGTGGGTGGTGGCACCATTCTGAGCCATTTACTGACAAACGCAGATGGGAGAGCAGTGACCAGAACCCACCCATTCGTCCTTCACCTGTAAGACATCCTTTTTCACTGAGCAAGCCCAACGAGGCCCAGTGAGGCTCTAGACATTGAAGCCCCTTTTTCTTTGAGGGCCTGGTTTTCCCATCTCTGACCTGAGAGGGTTTCCCAGGAAACCTCAGTGAAAGGGCTAAAAAATAAGCCAAGCTCAAGTCTGCTGCTTTAGCGGGCAGAGCAGCAGGAGCCTGCCCAGTACAACCCCATCTCCTTCCTGAGGAAGCAAGGCTTGGAAGGCTGAAGCTGGCCCCATAGGATCCTGGCACCCCAGCCCCAGCTCATGGCAGGGGGCCATGCTCACATGATCTCCTCTATCCTTCACTCTCAGTCCTAGAACATGCTTGGGCATTAGGCAGAGCCAAGCTCAACCTCAGTCCCCCACCTGCATGCCCTAGAAAGCCCCTAAACCTTCCTTCTCATGGGAAACCCAGGCAAACCATCCTTGGGCCTAGGGTGCAGTCCTGCCTGGTTATTATTACCTACTATCATTTTTATTATTTTTCTCTTTTCAGACTTTCCCTCACATGCTCCCTCTCCCTAGTCCTGCCTCAGTTTCACTAGTAGCTCAGCTACCTTCTGTTATCGTAAGATCCCTCTCTCCCACCAAATACCTCTTGGCCTCAAATCATGGCCAGAGCTAGCCCAGGCAGCAGTGGTGTTTTGAGGGGTGGCTTCCTGGGAAAAAGTAAACACTGCCCAAGCTAAACAAAGCGCCTGGCAGGGCTCTGTACCTTCCAGCTAGTGCTTGGGACAGAGGTGGTGCACCATGGCCTCGTCATCTCAGGATAGGAGAAGGAAGAATTTTTTTTTGCCCAGATTTGGCCTGTGACTTTGGGCCCTGGCAAGGGGTAGGGGGTCAGGGGTGCTGTTATCCAAGCATCCATGAGCTCTCCAGTGTCAGGCCTCAAAGAACACCTCACCTCTTCCTAGAAACCCTCCCTTTTGACCCATCACTTGTGCCTGACCTTGGCTAGCCTGCTGACAGACACTCAGAAGATGGGCCAGAGAAGCTCCCCCATCTGTGCAAACATTGGGCCTCTCTGCCTATGCACGCTCACAGCTCTAGACCTGGCTGGGGTAACCAGGCGGATGGGCGGCAGCAAGCCCAAGCCTTGCCCAGTTCCTGCCTTTGTTCCTTTATCTGCCCTAGGCAGTGTGGCCCCTTATGCCAGCACCTCCGCCTAGTAAGGAGTAGCCCTACTCAGACTAGAACTGGTGCCTTCTGGCTACACTAGGACCCAAGGCAGAGCAGGGAAAACCCAGCCAGTGCACCTGAAGCCTAGGTTACCAGTTGTTTTATCCATCCAATCACAGAAAACGAATTTGAGTCATGGAGCTCAACTGAGCAGTAATGCTTCTATGAGTAACTTGCTCAGTGCCCTTCATGTGTACCTGTAAAGAAAGACCGCTGCCCTCTCCAAGCCCTGGCCTAGCTGTGGGTTAGTTAACCCCATCTTCTCTAGGGATTAATCTCCATTCTGTCCACAGACACTCAGTGAGGGCTTCCCCCTCATGAGGACACCTTTATATACAGGACTGGTTGAGACCATTCACTGTTTGGGGACACATAAAGCCTGGTGCAAAGTACATGCTGGGCTCCTTGGTGACACTGTCCCACTGGGTACCCATTGTCTTTTGAGTAAGTCTATCGATGAACATCCCATCTCATCACTCCCATCTCCTAGGACTCAGCCCAGCGCAGGGCTCAGTAGTAGGAATTTCAGTATTTGCTACATTGAAGTGACATCTAAGCATAAAACTAGGACATCAGGTCAAGTGGGAACAGGGAAGTCATTTGTGGCCAAGGAACCTGTGTGTGTGCAAACACACAGAGGCCTGGATGGGGTAGCCCTGGGCATCCTCCAGCTCCACCCCAGGCTGCCACAGCAAGCAGCACTGTAGGCTGGCTGCCAGGGAGTCGGGCTTTTAGTCACCATGGGTGTTGGCTTCAAAGCTAATTGAGAGGGAGGGAATCGACCGACGCAATGTGGGCGCCAGCTAGGCCAGAACACCAGGGTTCTATTTCTGGCCTCGCTTCTGCCTCTTGCCTGACCTTGGTCATGCCCTTGCCTCTGCCTCAGTTTCTCTTTCCAGGAAACAGGAACAAAACCCTTTAACCCTGGAAGTCCAAAAAGGTTTAGAAGAACCAAACACAGGACCGGCCTTCTGCTTAAAAATAACACTCGGAATGGAGACAGGGTCTCCCAGCTGTGGAGACCAAACCACACCTCCATCCCCTACAGAGGGAGGAGACAACCTACTTGGGGAGAAGCGGGGAACCTGACCCCTTCAAGATTTATTAATCTGCTCTGAGGAGTTCCACCAGGGAAGGATGGAGGTATCAGCAGAATAAATATCTCACCTTCCCAGGCCTGGGTAAAGGGACACTTTCTAACCAAACGGATTAACTCTTCTCTGTCCATTTCTCAGACTGAGAGAGGACTCCTTCCAGGCACATCCTCAGACACTCCAGAAGGCAAGGACTGGGAAAACTGATGATAAGCAGCTCACTCCTCACTCCGCCCATCAAGTTGCAAGGGTGGGATGAGGTCAGGGGAGGGGGAATGAGATGGGGGCTGGGCCTCAGCCAAGCCTGAAGAAGAAAAGGTCAGCCCAGCCTTTTACCCAATATGGCTACTGGGAAATCTGGCCAGCCAGGCTGCATTGGCCCCACCCAGGGCAGGCGGCTGGACAAGGTTCATTTTGGCCAGAGGATAGGCAAGGCTGAGAACTCATCATGACTCCAGGCTCCCTAGACCCCAGCATCGTTGGTGCCCCTCGTCCCAGGCCCAGAATGGACTCTTAAGACCACACACTCCTGGGCCAGGGATTTAGCTCAGCGGTTCTGCTGCCTGCCTTGCAAGAACAGGGTCCCCAGTTCAATCCCTGGTACCAAAAAAACAAACAAACAAAAACCACACACTCCTCTCAAACAAGTGGCCAGCAGGGGAGCCACACGTCCTCCTGGGTGTGGGCACCATGTGTTTTCTTGCCCAGGGGGTAGGTGATGGAGCTGAGGACCAGCCTCTCACATTGAAGACCCCAACCATCATTAAAACCTTCCAGTGACCTCCCTGAAAAAGCACCCATCTGGAGATCTGAGGCCCCTCACAAGCATTCATTCTCCTAAACCTCTCTGTAGCTTCCCTGCTAGTCACAGCCACAGTACCCTCCCAGAGTCCGGGACACTTTCCCATATGAAGATCACAGGAAGGCTTCCCAAGTACCAATACCCTGGAGAGTAGGCCCTGCTCCCCCAACCTGCCAAGGCTTTAGTTCCTGCCTCACTGTCTGACCCTCCACCCCAAGAGATGCCTAGGATACAGAGCAGTGGCAAGTCTGGAAGGAATAACACTCCTGTCTCCCTGTTACCCTACAGACCTTGGGCCACCCAGCCCAGAAACTCAGATGCACAGATTCAGGACCCTTTCCCAAAATATCTAAGTAGTTTCTAGCCTTTCTCAGCAAGTCATCATTGCCCCTGTTCCCCTCCCACCATGCCCAGCAAACCCCATGTGAGTTTTGGCCCTTTTTTTGCCCTGACACCTCTTCTCCCTCCTGCACAGTGGAGTTGAGTGCTGTGAAGACAGGATGAGTTCTGGGGAGAGCAAGGCAGCCTCTTACCTTTGAAGGAGAGCCGGACACGGGGTGTAGCTGGGAGGTGGTCTTGGGTGAGGGTGGCTGGCCAGGCCCCAGTCAGTAGGGAAGCCCAGAGGAGGAAACCAGTGACAAGCATTGTGGGAGGGGCCTGGGGCCCAGGAAGCAGGTTTGGCTCTCTGGACACCTGGAAGAGGGAAGCAAGATTGGAATGTGTGAGGCAGAGGAGATAATTTCTCCCTACCATCATCTCCCTTATGCCATTTATGCCAAGGTATTTGTGTTTCCCTACTGAACAAAAACATGACGGAGATCTCCATGCTTATGCCTCCAGCCTAGAATCATGAACACTCCAGTGTGCAAGCTTCATGTATGTTCTTTTGCCTGCCTTTGGGGAAGTGTTACAAAAGCATGAAGATCTGGCTCTAGTGGCCTGAGACGACCAGGGCTAATGGGGCAGCTGGAATCTCCAATCCAGCCTTCCTGATATCCTGAACTCCATTCACAAGACCCAATGCAGGTAGGTGATCATGAAGCTCTCTCCAGTTCCCAGCAGGGTCTCTCCCACACAAGTACCACAACAAAACAGGCTCCTTCTCACTCTCCCACTTCAAAGAATGGGGAAGAAATGGGGTCTATCCCTTCCTAGTTGGGCTAAAGACTCCTCGTGCAGGAAAAATCTGGACCTGATTTTTTAAAGCGGGGAGGGGATGAGACACACACACAAATAATCCCAAGCAGAAGGGACAGCACCAGTCAGAAAATAAGAGGCAGAGAACAGCTGGGCCTACTTTTACTAAAATCAAAGCAGGAAAGACCTGAGTCAGACAGGTGGAAGGACTTCCTGCCAGGAAAAAGTTTTCTATCTGCCCTTGGAAGGTGAAGGGGGACTAGGATAGCAAGTAGGCTTGGGGTAGAGTCTAAGCAAGCTCTCTTTATCATATTTCCAGCAGGCCCACGTTTCAATATTGTGTTTTTCAAATATTGTCTCCCCAGGCAGGCTGGCTGTTGGATAAACGCAGCCCAGCAGCAGTTGTTGGAACATATTGCTCCCTCCCAGCACAAACCAGCGCCAATTCCCACCCCCCACAGCCGGAAACACTGGGGGTAGGGGCCTCAAGAATGACAGTATGAGCCCCATCCCTCAGATCCTCCCTATCTCCTTCCTTCTCCCCAAGGCAGGCAGGACCCTGGGCCAATTTCTTGGATGCCAGGATGAGAGTTGGAGAACTACGGCCTGTCACTCATCTGCCATGACTGTCCAGTGCTGAGGAAAGGCTCAGGCTCCATATCTGACTTTCAAGCCCCACTTGACAGACCCTCGTGCCCTCCTCAACCTTCCTGTCTTGAGTCCTGTCTCTCTGTTGCAAGGCAAACCACTCGTGGTTTCTCAGACAGGAAGTACATAGCTCAGGCCACTGGCCTATTCCTCCTGTGGCACTCTCTGTGGGAACACCACCAACACCAGAGCGCCTGGAGTGTTACTTTCACATCCCTTTAATGCATTCTCCACCCCAGGTGCTCCTTCTGGGAAGGTGGCTGGGGGAGGGAAGAATCACAACCTGTCCTTCCCTTAGCTTGCAGGTCCCAAAGCTGAGCAGACTGGAAGGCTGGCTCCAATAAGGAGGGTAGATGGGAGAAAGCACTGTGTAGCCACCATGCCTTGGGGTGCACCAACGAGGCCCCCACCAACAGGCTTGCACATACACACCCACGAGTGCGTGCCCACACATGTCCTCACAGGCACGCGTTTTCTCAAGAACTTGACCTGCTAATAGGGTGGGGCATAAGCAAGGTGGGAGACACTAGCTTGGGAAGAGCAAGATACAATTTGAGTCCCTCTAAGGGCTTTGATCTTATGTATCAGGGGGCTCATGTCAACCAGCCTCCCATCTGCATCCTCCCCATGACCTCATTTTTCCTGTATCCATTTTCATGGTAACAAGGTCAGGGTCACCAAGGACAGAGTTGGAGTCAGCCAAGGTGTCCAGGAAGGTGGGGAACCTTCCCACAGGGCCCCCACAGGAACTTCGTACAATGCTCCGTCCCTGACAAAAGTGAACAAGGGATGATGAAGTCTGCTGGGGCCCCAGGTCCAAGTCCAGGCCCCTTCTTTGGTGGCCTTGGGGTAGAGGACAGAAGGAGCAGGAAGAAGAAAAGGACAGAGAGGAAAGATGGGAGAGGAATTCTACAGTTCCTTCCCCTCTGCTAGCCCCTAGATGCCTTCCATTTGTCTCAAGCCCCCCCCCAACAAGGCAGAACAAGCTCAGGTGGACAGACAAAGGAGGAAGAGCCACCGCCACCTGGGAGCCCACCAGGCGGAGAACAGAGAGGGAGAAGAGGCAAACTGGCGGGAGGGAGCAAGGGAGGGAGGCAGGCGGGAGGGAGGAGGAGAGAGGGAGGAGAGAGGGAGGGACGATGGAGGAGAGACGCTTGAACAAAGAACCGAGGAGCTGGGGCTGGCAGGGGGTGCAGGGAAGGGGCAGCTAGAGGAAGGGGTACGGAGGCACCTGGGGGCGGGGCAGGGGGCCAGGCGGTCGAATTGTCCAGCCCAATTCAGACGTCCCAGGCTGCGTGTGTGTATGTGTGTGTGTATGAGGGGGGAGAACCAACTGCCTGCCTCAGAGAAGGGAGGTTGGCTCCTCCGAGCTAAGAACTGCCTAGAAGGAAGGGAGGTAGAGACAGGGGTTACAGGGAACACAGGGAGAAAATTATTAACAGCATCCCACAGGCCAACAGCCCCTTAGATACCGCACCCCCAGCTCCTTCCTAGCTTCTCAGCTTCCCCCTAACCTCCAACACCTCAAGCAGAGCCACCCCAACATAGCTAGGACTGAAACTCCCCGTTTGTGGCCAGAGTTTCCCAGTCAAGGTCACCTGGGCCTGGTTCCACCCCCACCCCCCAAGGTGTGCAGAGAAGTGAGGCCTGAGGCTGGAGGGCTGGCCTTTTCTCACCTTCACCTCCTTGCCTCTGCACTTCCGGTCCTGGCTCCTTCAGGACTGAGGGGGAGCAGCAGGGGTAGGTGTGCCTGCCCAGACACCACACCCCACCAGGTCCAGGCACACCCCCTGGGGAGCCTAGGAAGAAGCCCCAGCGCCATCCATGGCCCTGGGCTGAGTCTCCCAACCACTGTACCCATTTCCCCATCTCTGTAACTAGGATAGTGGCTGCTGGGAATCAAATTGGTGAATTTAGGGGACAAGGATCTCCAATCTGGCCCAGCTCCAAAGTGGACACACTGGTGCCTTCAGTTTGCTCACTCCCCAAGACATTAAAAGGCTGGGCAAAGCTCTGCTATCTTAATTAGGAGTTATTTATCCAAGGGGGCCTCAGCCTAATTCCAGAGCACTCTTGCCAGCACTAATTCCTGGGCCACCTCAATACCTCACTGTCCCACCTGGGCAGGGCAAGCCACCAAGCCCCTGTTGTCTCCTCTCCACCTCACCACTAGCGACACTGCTCCTCTGTCTTATCTACATCCCACTTACAGGAGGGACCCTAAAACCAAGCAGGACTCCCTTTTGTAAAAAGCAAATCCAAGATATGGCTAGGGAGTGAGGGAACTGGCAGAATGCTGGGAGAAGAGCCAGGGTTGGTGACCCTCGACATGGAGGCTACAGTACAGCGCTTCACTTCGGGCTGACCACGTCTTCAGACAGGGACACCGAGGCTTAGCACTCACCTATTGGGGAAGACAGCTGCCTCAGGCATTAGTGGGACAGAGACCTGAGACCGGAGAAGGGGACCAGAATTCCCACTCCAGATCGTGAGGGTGAGGCTACCCATTCACCTGGAACCTTGTGGAGGGGAAAAAGTTGCTTTGCATACCTGTGACCCTACAGGCCACATCACCCAAACACCTACACATCCCCGCGTCGCCCCGAGGGTAGGGGGTCCCACCCGAGTACTGTCTGTCCCTTCTTCCGTAAGCCGTGCTCGGTCTAGCCAAATCCTGCTCACTGGACACTTCTGCAGAGTTAGGGTGCCACGAGTCCTGGAGGGGTCGCAGGTGGGCCGGCTGCCAGCCCAGCCCTTGGGTTCCCGCACACTCACCTCTTCCGGGCGGGGGCCTAGGCGCCCGGGCGGCGGTGGTGCGGAGAAGCTCCCGTAAACCGACCGGCACTATCGG